TAACGGAAAATGTTTTTCAAGAAAATATTTTCTTGGAAAACAAGTAGTAATCTTACTCATTTTCCGGTATTAGGTACGTAAATTAAGGAAAATAACTTCTCAAGAGTATTCATAAATAATTTAGATACAATAAACATGAAGCCATAAACTTTCGAACCAACAACCTTCCGAACCCACAAATTTCATAAACTTTCGAACCGCTAATGTCACGAACCCAGTTCACCCTCCATAAACATGTCGTGATGGCAGCTAGTTCCTACAACTAGGTAAGCCTAACAGTGCGGAACAAATTAACTCAATCTTAGAAAAACAAATAATTTAGACTGAATAGCTGAAAGAAATATGTATATAACTGCCATTCGGCGTATACAACTCATAATAAGTGCGGAAGTCAAAATCTCAACCCAAAACCCGGAAACTCACGGGAACCACAGGCTATCAGAAACATAGTGCACTGCTCTAACTCCAGAATATCTAAACAACTGAGAGAAAAGAAATAAACTAAATACTAAAGCTGGAACAGAATAGAGACTCCTGGTCTGCAGACGCGGCAGATATACCTCGAAGTCTCCGTGTATCTCCTCGTCTCAAGGATAGTGTGCCTGAGTAGAGGTACCTGGATGATCTGCACATAAAAAAAAAACATGCGCAGAAAGGGCATGAGTACACCACAGCGGTACTCAGTAAGTGCCAAGCCTAACCTCGGTTGGGTAGTGACGAGGAAGGTCAGGGCCCTACTGAGATAAAATATAATAATAAATCAACAGTATGAAAATCTAACAGTAATAATGAGTACAGCAGTGAGATAAGACAGGTCAAGTAAGACGATAACATCTACACAAGGAAACAGAGTAAACACGGAATATGTACTGCTCAATACCAATGATAACAAGAGGATCTCCCAGGATACCATCCTGTAGTACTTTCCTTTTCAGCTGTCCAGTGGGTCTCTCGGAATACCGTCCCGTAGCCCATCATATATGTAAATCCGAAGGATCTCCCGGGATACCTTCCCGTAGTCCAATCATCAATGTGCAGGGGGATCTATCGGGAATCTAACCCGCAGTCCCAAAGTAAAAGTGCAGGGGGATCTATCGGGAATCTAACCCGCAGTCCCAAAGTAAAAGTGCAGGGGGATCTACCGGGAATCGAACCCGTAGTCCCAAAGTAAACAGACAAGGGGGGGGGGGGGGAGCTACCGGAATCCCACATCCGTAGTCCCAATATAAAAGCGTAAACACAACCAGAATGTTCACAGAAATGAAGTACAAAAGACAAGCAACAGGTAGTACTGGCCTAGAATGCTTCACGTAGTACAGTTAAGGCAACTTAAGCAATTAGACAAGTTAAATCAACTAAACATGCTTTCCTAATCTAGCACAGGCTATAATTGCAAGTAGAATAAAGCAAATATGAAAGGAACTCAATCACAATATCTTAAGTAAAAACTGGATTTTCAACAATTGGCTCAAGTATGCGCTCGTCACCTCGTGCACCAGGCTCTCAAATACCAAATAACAAAATTCTAAGGGGAAAGGTCCCCCACACAAGGTTAGACGAGCCACTTACCTCGAACCGGCTCAATATCAACTAGAAACCACGCCCTTGCCACGAGTATCCGACTCTAAATGGCCCAAATCTATTCAATTCAATTACACATTGTAAATAACATCGCAAACAACTGGTTTTGCTATTTAAGTCAAAGCTACGACGTGAAATTAGGTGAAATAACCAAAATGCCCTTCAGGCCAACGCCTCAGAATCGAATAATTTTTATATTTTCAGAACCCTCGTACTCTCACGAGTCTAACCATATAAAAATCTTCCAAATCGGAAGTCAAATGCCCACTCAAAACTCAATGGTTTAGCCTATGAAGTTTTACCCCAAATTCTTCCAATTTTGATCCCAAATTCGAATTTTAATGATGGATTTAACTACAAAATGATGAAATATAAATAGAAGGGATTAAAGAAACGTTACCCAATAATCTCCTCTTCAAAACCCTCTGAAAATCGCCCTTACCCGAGCTCAAATTGATTTTTCTAACTTATGAAATCAAACCCTCGAAATTTCTATATCTGCACTGGTATTTTCGCTTATGCGGACAAGGGACCGCTTATGCGGAAACAAGCCGCTTCTGCGGTCTTCAATTAAATGGCCAGGACCGCATCTGCGATAAATAAGCCGCAGGTGCGGAAGCGCATCTGCGAAGGACAATCCGCTTCTGCGGAGACTAGGGGGCCACTGGGCTTCGCTTCTGCAGCGGATAAGCCGCTTCTACGGCTCCGCCTATGCGGGGGAAGAACCGCTTCTGCGGTTTCTGAGGGAAAGGGCAATAGCTGCTTCTGCGGCCATCTAGCCGCTTCTGCGGTGCCGCATCTGCGGTTCCCAAGCCGCAGATGCGGAAATACCAGAAGCAGCAAGAAATCAGCTGCAGCGCACTTCAAAATTCTTCCGTTAACCATCCGAATTCATCCCGAGGCCCCCGGGACCTCAACCAAAAGCACCAGTAACACCTAATACCTCATTCAAACTTGTACCAATCCTTAAACCACCTAAAACAACGTCGGAAACACGATAAATTCAAGGATTTGAGTCTAAGAACTTCAAATTCCATCAAAATACATTTTCGATCAAAAACCTAACCAAAACACGTCCGAATGACCTGAAATTTTGCACGCACATCCCAAATGACATGATGGAGCTACTGCTACTCTCGGAATTCCAATCCGACCCTCGGATCAAAAACTCACTATCGGACCGGAAACTTCAAAAAAATCAACCTTCGGCATTTCAAGCCTAAATGAGTTACGAACTTCCAAAATACATTCCTAACACGCTCCCAACCCCGAAATCACCTAACGGAGCTAACAGAACCATCGGATTTTCATTCCGAGGTCGTCTTCACACTGTTCCGACTACGAACCACTTTTCAACACTTAAGCTCTCATTTAGGGACTAAGTGCCCCAAAACTCTCCAAAACTCTACACCGAACGTCCCGGCAAATCAAAATAGCAGAAATGAATTTAGGGGAAGCAGTTAATAGGGGATCGGGGGTTAATTCTTAAGACGACCGACCGGGTCGTCACAGTATAGGAATAAAAAAATCTCAACAAATTATCCATTATCTAATCAAATAACCACCACTGCCCAAATTCGATTGGTCTGACAAAGGAATATAACGATCTTTTTCAGCATTATTTATTCTGTCTCTACTCTCATTTAATGATCAGAAAATTAAAACAAGCAGATTGGACACAAAGAGCACGGTAAATATTTATCCGCCCTCAGTATTTATTTCAAACTAAATAATTTAACTTTAATAGTTAAAAATAGAAGAGAGAATGCTTACTCTCCGTCCAAGTATACTTGTCCACTGTACTAAATAAAGATGTTCATTTTTACTTATCCAGTTTGAAAAACCAACGAATACCTTACCATCTTATACCTATTTTACCCTTATTGTTTTCATATTTTAGATTTATAATAGTCAAAGTTAGTTTTTCAATAATAATAATAATTATGGGTGATATAATTAATTTATTATGTTATATTGTTTCTTAAGAGGTGTATCAAGTCAATAGTGGACAAGTCAACTTGGACGGAGGGAGTATTACCTTACTTAAGTTAAATGATAAATGTGTGTATGAAAAAAATAAATGTACTCTCTCCGTCCAAGTTTACTTGTCTACTATACTAAAAATAGATATCCGCTTTTACTTGTCAAGTTTGAAAAATAATAAATAATTTACTATTTTATACTTTTTTTTTTACCATTTTTAGAAAATTTTGACTTATTCTTAATTTATTTTTCAATATATAATAAATAGGATATAGTAAAATTAGGACGTTACTTATAGTATTTGTCAAGGGAGTAAGGGTGTGTCAAGTCATTGCTACCTTTCAAACTCTAGTTACCCATGAAACCAACTTTACCCAAGTGTCATATAAGCACGTAACGTAAGTATTCAAAAAGTCAGAAAAATATTGGGCCAATTTCTACTCCTCTAAAACAAGAAGGGATATTTATTAATTATAACTAATAATATATTTCTAGTTGCGCCGTCTTTCCCTAGTTCGAAAAATTTAACGTGTTTGGCGATTCTCCTTAAAAGACAAACCTTTGAATGAAACTTTCATGGTAAAAATTACACCTTTACAAGATATTGACTTGCGCCCATATGTCAAAAGTACACCGCGCTTTGGCTTTGCGTTTCCTTGAACTCAGGAATTTTTCTTCAGCCAAGAAAATATTGCATGCTGTTGGTGCTGATAATGGTCTGAGGAAACCAATTATTTATTGGGTGAGAATCATGCACAGCACAATGTTATGGGTAAGTTATTTAATGTGTTATTCATTGTTCATGCTGAAAATATTAGGTTTAAGGAAGCTTTGGAGGTTTTTGATTATATGAAAAAAGGTGGCTTTGGAATTGCTGTTAGAGCTTGTAAGGTTTACTTGCGTGCTACGGAAAGGCAAAAACGATATGACTTGTTGTTTGAGTTTTACCAGAAAATGGCTGAGTTTGATGTGGAAATTACAGTTTATTCTATGAAAATGGTAATTAATGGGTTGTGTAAATTGGGGGAGGTTTGTAAGGCAAGAAAGATTATGGATGAAATGGTTAGTATAGGGATGAAACCAAAAGAATACATTTATAAGACATTATTAGATGCATATATAAAGGAACCAAATTTTGCGGTTGTGAGTGAGAATTTGAGGGAAATAAAGAGTGAGAGGTTGGATTTTCATGTGAAAAGTTATAATCTTTTGATTGACGAATATTCTACTAATCTTGAAGAGGTTGAGAGGTTGTTTAGGGAAATGGAAGCGAAGGGCATAAAGTCAGATTTTCGTGTATATAATTATATGATTAGTGGTTATAGTAAGGTAGGTAATGTCAGAAAGGCATTTTCAATTTTCGGCGAAATGAGGGAGAAATGCTTCTTTCCTGATGTTCACACATATATAACTTTGATAAAAGGCTTGTGCAAGGCTGGGCAGATGCAAGAAGTTGAAGTCTTGTTCAATGAGATGCCAAACAACGGAACTTACATAAACCGAGTCATATTTAGTATGATGATTGATGATTATTGTAAGCAATGTAATGTGGATGAGGCACTGAGGCTGCTGAGAATTATGCAGGGCTTAGGACATGAGGCTGATGCAAATGTTTACAATATAATTGCTAGTAGGTTGCGTAAGCTAGACCTGTATGACGAAGCAAAGAGGTTGTTGCTCTCGATGGTGGATCGAGGTGTAGCTCTAAATTTATTGTGTTATACAACTTTGATTGATATTTACAGCAAGCAGGGAAATTTTGTTGAAGCAAAAAGGACATTTAGTGAGATGGAAACTAAGGGAATTAAGCCTGATACGACAACGTACAGCGCCCTGATAGATGGTTATTGCAAGCATGGAAATTTTGTTGAAGCAAAAAGGACGCTTAGTGAGATGGAAAATGAGGGAGTTATGCCTAGCACGATAACCTACACTGCACTGATAGATGGTTATTGCAAGCTAGGAAATTTTGTTAAAGCTAAAAGGGTACTTGTTGAGATGGAAAATAAGGGAGTTAAGCCTAACACAATAACTTACACTGCGCTTATAGATGGTTATTGCAAGAAAGGTATTATGAAGGAAGCGTATAAGCTAATGATTGACATGGAAGCTAATGACCTGATACCTGATGTCTATACGTACACTTCTTTTATAGATGGTTATTGCAAGCAGGGAAATCTTTTTGAAGCAAAAAGGACACTCAGTGTAATGGAAACTAAGGGAGTTAAGCCTAACACAACGACGTACAGTGCGATGATAAATGGTTATTGCAAGAAAGGTATTATTAAGGAAGCTTATAAGCTATGGATTGACATGGAAGCTAATGACCTGATACCAAATGTCTATACATACACCTCACTTATACATGGGGAATGCCAATCGGGAAAGGTACATCATGCTCTAAAGCTTTTCAACGAGATGACCACAAAGGGTTTAGCTCCGAATGTGGTGACCTATACAATAATGATTTCTAGCTTATTAAAAGAGGGCAGATCACATGAAGCCTGCAGATTATACTATCAGATGAAAGAGGCAGGCCTAACACCCGATGCCACTGAATAATCTGTACTTGTGGGTAGGCTTTCATAGTTGAAATTTATTTAGTGTGAGAATTTCTTCTCTAGGATCTTGTAAACCGTTAATTTAATTTGAATCAGCTTTAGCTAGTCAGAGGTTTAGCAGATTGGGTAATACTTCCTCCTGATGTTTTATATGATCAAAAGGAATTACATAGTGCATGACAGTTTTTAGAGATTCGATGAGCCTAGATTGTTACTGCAGATCTTAGGATTGTTTGCAAACATGGTCTGCCATAAAGTGAAGGTTGATATCGAATAGAGACCCAAGAAAGAGCAAAAGTTCTGCTCAGATGTGAGCTCTCGATTTCCCTTCCCCTGATTTTATCACGATTATCTTCAAAGACAGGAAGATAGGACTATGATATGTGTAAGTCCTAGTACGATATTGAATTGTAACAGCTTTCTATAGTTAAAACCAACTTGACAGATCAACCGTGAGTTTAGGCAACTATTGTCTTTGATAAATATTGTTTCATTACGGGGTCATGATGGGAATGCCACTTGCCTATTGTGGAATTTCAAACTCTTGTGTTTTATTCAATATGTTTATTTAAGCAATATTGCTTCCTCTGTACATTATTCTCTTGAAATTGGAAGAAGCAGAACAAAAGAAGTGTGTCACTCTCGAGATGCTGGTCGATGCATGCAAAATCGCAAATTTATAGTTTCTGTCACCTAGATTGCTCCATACGGTTCATCCTAGTGTAGGACTACTCTAAAGCTATGAGGTTACCTCTCTGACTGGGAAGACCTGCTATTAGCACTTAGCAGTGCCAGTATTTATTACCATCTATAATAGGATACAACAGAAAATAAGAAAAAGAAATTTAGCTTCCAGAAATTATATCACTAAGCCCCGAGATAGTCCCATCTGTGGTTGCAGATTATAGAACTCAATTGATCAGTGTGAACTGCCTTACGTTATCAGCTAATAAAGGGAAAGGATTGGACCTGCTTCCATGGTAACAGTAGTATAGCTGTCTGATTTTGTAGACTGCTTTCCATTTCCGATATTGTGATCTGTTATTAATCTGTTACCTCATTTCTCCTTTTTCAGCCATATGCAAGTTAAAGAAAGAAGCAATAGATACTTCTATGAACCTCCATCCTGATTCGTAGGTACAATTCCGTTATTGCTCCCTCTTAAGACAAGGAAAGGAGCTTGGTTGGTTAGATTTCTTCAAGAGCCTGGAGAAGCTTTGTTAAAAGTTCAACGACATTCTTTAGAAAAAACTCCGAGACTGTCATATGTATGTGAACCAAAAGGTGTCTTTTGAAGAGAAAAAACTCCTTGTTTCAGGACCTATATCTAGCTCTGATTTTGACTTTATCTGTTTTCACAGAGCACTGCAATTGGTGCACCAGCAGCTAATGAACTTCACAAAGCGGCATTGAGGAGGAATATCAATACTATTATCTGTTAGTTTTCAACCAGTCGGGGGTTAATTGCGCATGTAATAAAATAATGATGTCTGGTGATCCACCTTGCTTCACCAATTGTTATAGATGGTATGTCCTTTTTCACTGGGTTGTCGTTGTTATTGTTGTTTGTGTGTCCTTTTTTAACTTCCTTATTCTTCTTTCAGCATTCTTGTCGCGTCATTGTTTTATTTCTCCATTGGAAATTAAAGGGCGTTAATTTCTGAAAATACAACGATTTTCAGATTAAGCATAAAGGAATTGGCTTAGCAGGTTGGTTGAACTTCACTCATACTTGTGTATATTTTATTGCTGAGAATGCTTCTGCCAGTACCAAACTTTGTATGCTAATATGTACATGTGCATGTTAAAGGGATTAAAATTAAGGACCATATCTTGTGCTGGTTGAAAAGAATTATGCGTGTGCAGTATATAGGATTACCAAGGCTCCATCGGAAACTAAGGGAGTTAAGCCTAACATGGCAACAATACTGCCTTCATAGATGGTTATTGCAAGGTGGGAAATTTGCTAAAGCAAAAAGGCTACGTATTGAGATGGAAACTAAGGGAGTTAAGCTAAACAAATTTACTTACAATGCCTTGAGAGATGGTTATTGTAAGAAAGGTATGATGAAGGAGGCTTTAAGGGTTGCTATGGAATATAAGGACCTGATACCAGATGTCTATACATACACTTCTCTTATACATGGGTAACGCCTATCAGGAAAGGTATATTGCTGCCGTGAAGCTTTTCAACGAGATGCCTACAAAGGGTTTAGTTCCAGATGTAGTTGTAAGGTGTACCTCAACTTCTGATATTGCAGTCTTTTTAAACTTGTCAGATAAAGCAGATCGCGTCTTGTTATATGAAGCAACAAGCTCTAAAAGGGATTCCAGTAGGTTTCTCAAAGAGGAAATGTCCACATCATCCCCATCAATTGCCTCAAGGATCACCTTAGTATCCTCTTCAAGCTCAGAAACCTTGTCTGCATCACTACCTTTCAGCTTACGCTGGATCGAAGTCCAAAGCTTCAAGATAAACTCCTTTCAAATATTCGAGACAATCTTCTTTCCATAAAAAACAAACGCTGTAACTGTTGGTTGTTCATGCAAATCAGAGCCTAACTTTGCCCCAATTCCACCACGAGAAATAGAAGTTGCCTCTTGATTTGCTTTAGCTGTGGAAGATGATTTCTGCGGGTCTGGTCTTACTATAGACTTACCACTATCTTGTGGCCTTCCTCGTTGCAATGCTCCAATGTTATTTGGCTGCAAAAAAATAAATAAATGTAAGAACACTTTAGCAAAGTCAATTGACCATTGTTCAAAGATGAAAAGTTTACGTTTTCTTTTACCTTCTCATTACAAGCTGTTAGTGTTCTTGAAGGGCTATCAACGCTTTGGACCTCTACAACTCCTTCTGGGTTAGGCCTAACCCTTTTCTTTTTCCAACATTGATCTCCTTTGTTTCTATCACTCTCCTCTTGGGATAATCGCTTATTAGAGGCATCAACAACTACATCCAATGGAATGAGACTTTCGTCAACCGGAGCATGGATCTCTTCTCTTTGAACTTCTTTGTGTAGCAGGGATCCATTGCCTGTGCGCGTCCCAACTACCTTAGGCTTTAAAGCAGGAAGCTCATCAATCACTAGGATATCCTTGTTGCGGTCTTGAAGAGTATTCGTTATTGGCTCAACAGTATTCATCAAAAATTGTAAGTGGTCTTCAAGAAAGCTTCAATGCGCCCTTGCCCACCAAGATCTATAGTTAGACGATGTAAACTTTTTCACATTGGACCCAAAAGGAGGAAATACTGCCCTTGACTTAGATCTAGTCAGCACACAAATTCGTGCAAGTCTTAACCCTTCTTCTAATGAGGCCTTACGAAAATCTCGCTCCAAGCGACCAGGGGTATCTTGATAAAAAAAACAAATTGGAGCAAAATTTTCATGAGGCCTCATCAGAAGAAGGGTTAAGACTTGCACGAATTTGTGTGTTGACTAGATCAAAGTCAAGGGCAGTATTTTCTCCTTTTTGGTCCAATGTGAAGAAGTTTACATCGTCTAACTATAGATCTTGGTGGGCAAGGGCCCATAGAAGCTTTCTTGAAGACAATTTGCAATTTTTGATGAATACTGTCAAGCCAATCACGAATACTCTTCAAGACCGCAACAAGGATGTCCTAGTGATTGATGAGCATCCTGCTTTAAAGTCTAAGGCAGATGAGACGCGCACAGGCGATAGACCCCTGCTACACAAAGAAGTTTAAAGAGAAGAGATTCATGCTTCGGTTGACGAAAATCTAATTCCATGAGATGTAGTTGTTGATGCCTCTAACAAGCGATTATCCCAAGAGGAGAGTGATAGCAGCAAAAGAAGATCAATGTTGGAAAAAGAAAAGGCCTAACCCAGAAGAAGTTGTAGAGGTCCAAAGCGTTGATAGCCCTTCAAGAACACTAATAGCTTGTAACGAGAAGGTAAAAGAAAATGTAAACTTTCCATCTTTGAACTACCAAATGACTTTGCTAAAGTGTTCTTACTTTTTTTTTGCAGCCAAATAACATTGAAGCGTTGCAACGAGGAAAGCCACAAGATAGTGGTGAGTCTATAGCAGGACCAGACGGGCAGAAATCATCTTCCACAGCAAAGGCAGATCAAGAGGCAACTTCTATTTCTCGTGATGGAATTGGGGCAAAGTTGGGCTCTGATTTGCGTGAACAACCAACAGTTGCATCGCCCGTTTTTATGGAAAGAAGGTTGTCTTGGATATTCGAAAGGGAGTTTATCTTGAAGCTATGGACTTCGATCCACCATTAGCTGAAAGGTAGTGATGTAGACAAGATTTTGAGCTTGAAGAGAATACTAAGGTAATCCTTGAGGCAATGGAAGGGGATGGTGTGGACATTTCCCCTTTGAGAAACCTACTTGAGTCCCCTTTTGAGCTTGGTGCTTCACATAACAAGATGCGATCTGCTTTATCTGAGAAGGTTGAAAAGACTGCAATATCAGAAGTTGAGGTACACCTTACAAATGCCATGATTGAAGAAGAAGAGAAGGCTAGAGAAGTGTCATCTACCCGTCAGTCCCTAGTTACAGTGAAAGAGAAGATTGAGAAGCTCCGTGAAAAAGAGAAGAACTTAGAAGCCCTTCTAGAAGTTGCTGAGAAAGAAGTTGAAGATGCTAAATTAGGAGCATCAACTTCTAGAACGGAGTACGACGCATGCTGCAATGTTGACTGCTGATGACTTGGCCGATTTGGAGAAGAAGAAGAAATACTTGGAAGCTATGCTCAAGGATTTGGCAAACTACAAGTTGTGTTTAGATTAGGCTATAAACATTGTTTTATTTGTTTTCTCCTTTCTTCTCGCATTTGATTGTTTAGTAGGTGTTCTCATCAATAATAAAACTTCTTTCATTTCACTTTATATTGCGCATTCTCATTAATGATCCCATTTGTTCTTGCTTTCTTTTTTTATGTGCTTCAATGATCAGGACTTGGTAGTTTATCCATGTATTCTAAAGAAAAACCTCACTTTTCTTTTTGCTAAGCTGACTGAATATTCTAAGTTGCCTACGTAACTCGGTGAAGAGGATTAAGTTATTACGTAGTTCATAACAAGTGAGATTTTTTTTAATACTTAATGGATTTGAAGACTTGGCGGACTTGAAGACTGCAACTTAAGACCTAGCGGGATTGAATACTCAAATTGATGATGTAACATACTTGATAAAATCAACTTGACTTAGAATTGGAGACTTCAACTTGAAGATTTAGCTTTTTCAAAAATTGCTGGAACATCAGAGTCCAAGAATGGATATTCTTTCGCTTGCATTTCCTTCAGAGTTAACTTTTGGCCATCTTTATCTTGCAAGGATGTTGTCTTCACACTTTGCTTCTTACTCACTTTTGTAGTGACCTTCAATGGCGAGACATTAACTTTCATTGATTCCTTGCTCTCAGACTTCGGCACAAACTTGCCTCCTTTCTTTATTTCTTGTTTATCCTTTCCTTTGTGAAGTTCATGAACAGGTGGCCCTTGATTTCCACTTGAAGACATGCTTAACTCCATATCATGAGCACGTGTAGCCAATTCTTATAAAGACCTAGGCTTGATTATCCTGTAGGATGTAGTAAAGTCCCCCAATGCATTCCTTGGATGAACATTTCTATTCCAAAAGCTTCACTAAGTCTGTCTTTACAATTGAGGCTCGCATTCCTCCATCGATTGATGAAATCAACGACCGACCCATCCTTCCATTGACGCGTGTTTGTGAGTTTAACCATACTTACAGTTCGCTTTGTGCCATAGAAGCAATTGAGAAATTCATGTTCAAGTTGCTCCTAACTATAGATGAAACCAGCCTCGAGATTAGTGTACCAATCAAAAGCATTTCCTTTTAAGGAGCAGACAAACTGCTTGACAAGATAATCTCCATAGGTTCCAGCATTATTACAAGTTTCGACAAAGTGTGCAATCTGTTGCTTTAGATTTCCTTTACCATCGAATGGTAAAGGATCTTGCCCCATTTAAGGATCGAAAATCAAAGTTAGGAACCGATGCAGATGACATTTGAAATGCTTGTTGTCCTAGCAAGTTTGTTTTGTTCCTAGTGGTAGGTCCTACACTTTCCATAGTAGCATCCAACAAGTTTTTCACATCAGATGAAAACTTGGAATCTGTAGCCTTAGCAGTAGTGGATTTGAAATTGATCTTCTTAGGAGCCATTTCAGTGTTCTTGAAATTTAATAATTGAAGAGATCGAGAGGTAGAGATGGTCCCACTAGGCGTGCCAGAAATTCGTAACAACATATTCTCGCGTAGAGAAAAACAAATAATCAAGGAATTGCGTAACAATAAAGTATTTAATTTTAATAAATGATGAGTGTTACAATCTCTATAATATTCCTCTGATTCTTTAAGAATATAAACTATCTTGATGAGCTTGATTTTTTACTTTGATTCTAGGGATTGTAAAACTTGGTCATGAATCTCCTACTTGAACTTGAATTTGGATTTGATCACGAACAAGTAATTTGATCTTGAATGCCTTGGTATTTGATTGAAATTTTTACCTCCTATAGCAAAGGTTAACACCTTATTTATGTTAAATAAATACCATTTAAAAAAATTATATTCTATAGATACCTTTTAAGGTTTATAGCAAAATATTTAATTTTGGTTACTTCCTAGCCCTAAGCCACTAAATACGCTAATCAGTTACACTATTTTCTTTCTCTCTCTACTTTGATACATCCCATTCTCTTTCCCTATCCCATTAAACTTTCCGATCTCCCCCTCCTTCCACCGATTTTCTTTGTATCCCTTCCCACTTTTCCCTCCCTTTACACCAGCGTGATGATCGTTCTGCCGCCATTTTTGGTTGGTTTTCCGGTCGCCGAAAAACCTCTTTAAGACCCTCTTTAAAGGATACTGCTTCGTCCGAGTTGATGCTTTTACAAATCTCCTTCCCATTGAAGAAATCTTGAAGTAATTTCTGAACTTTGGGAATCCTAGTTGATCCACCGACGAGAACCACATCATGAACACTGCTCTTATCCATCTTGGCATCCCTCAAACACTTCTCCACTGGCTCCATACACTCCCTGAACAAATCCATGTTCAGCTCCTCAAATCTCGCTCTAGTAATAGTCGAGTAAAAATCAATACCTTCATACAAAGAATCAATCTCAATTGTGGTCTGTGCAGTCGATGACAGAGTCCTCTTCGCCCTCTCACAAGCAGTCCTTAACCTCCTCAATGATCCTTCCGCCGCCTTTTTTTTAAATTGTAATTCAATGTATCTCGCTGTATTTTATTGTATTCTCTGTCTTTTTTTTCATTGTATTTCAATGTATCCCGTTGTATTCTATGTATTTCATCGTATTCACTGTCTCGCTATATGCCATGAATGTATTCATAAGTTTTTTTTAATTAATATAATTTATGTATTCAGATGTATTATATAATTTCTCTGAAGATTGCTATGTTTTTGGGGTATTTTTTGGTTGAGAATCTTTTTTATAATTGAAAATACAAATTTTGTGTGTTATAATTGAGTTTGTTGAGTTATATTAGGAGTCTATTATGTTAATTGATTCACTTTCCGTTATAAAAATAGTGTAATCCCCTATTTCACGCCGTGAATGCAGTCGAATACAATAATCTATCCAGCTGCAATCCCATGTTTCACTCCATGAATACAGTCGAATACACTCGAATACAACAACTGATTAGCTGGACTTCCCTGATTCACGCCTATTTTTGCTACTGTATTCATGAATACAATAGCTTAAATACATCAAATACATCTTATAGCCACATAAAAGGTATCTATAACCCGTAATATAACAAATTGTATCTATAGATGGCTAATTACTACTAAAAGATAATGCTTTATGAAAATTTCTCTATTTGATTTGCCTTCGTTCTTGATCTTGAACTTGGACTTGTAGCTGGAGTGCTTGGACTTGTAGCTGGAGTGCTTGAACTTGTAGCTTGTAGAGAAATCTGCAGCTTTTGATCCACGGGCTCTCTGCTTGCTTCTTGTCTTCTAACTTTATGAAGACTTCTATTTATAGTTGTAAGGAGTGTTGTAGCTCTGTGATTTGATTGGTCCGTTTGAACTGACTAATACCATCTAGACACTTGGCACAACTCTATTGGTTGTTGATTTGACTTGGTATGCCACCCTCGTGGCATGATTTAATTGGCTCATTTATTTGGCTTGAATTGCCACATCACTTTGCACGTGGCATGATTTTATCGGCTCGTTCTTTTGACTTGGATTGCCACATAACTTGACATGTGGCATGATCCCTGACTTTAAGATGGGCTAATAGCCATTTGGACCTTGGGCTAGTGAAGTGGGCTTATTATTTAATTTGTAGTACAATTAAATAGACTAGCCCAACACACACACACACACACGCGCGCACATATATATATATATATATATATATATATATATTGAATTTAAATAATTAGCCGAATTACTAGCCACAATATTTGTTTGGACTAATGTCCTGAATTTAATATGGTCCAAATTATTTATGGATCTAAATCCAATAAAATTTAAATGCTTACTGTAGTGACTAACACATCCATGATTTCTGGCCTATCAAAAGAGGGCAGATCAGATGAAGCTTTCAGATTATACAATCGGATGATAGAGCCATGCCTAACAGTCCGTCTTATTACATAACATGCACTTGTGGATAGCGTTCATGGTTGAAATTTATTAGGTGAGAAATTGTTCTTTACTACTTGTAAGTTATTTCACTTCATGTAAATTGGATTTAGCTAATTGTGTGGCAGATTGTTTTGTACTTCTTCCTAATGTTGTATGTGAGACATGCTGCAGAGATTCTGGTTCCTAGCTTGTTTCTGCAGCCGCTTCATCAAAATCTTTGGGCCTTGGTAGGTTGTAAATGAAGATTCTGACTTAGTTTTAACAATATGAAGATAATGAAGTCCTCTTGCTGATCCTATGCAAATTTCAAGCCTTTTTTGTCCAATTCAAATTCAAAAGGTTTGAGTCATAGAGATGATCCTTAAGAGTTCCGCGCTCCATGTGCTCGTATGTTATCTTTTTAATATAAGGTTCGTAAGTAATTATCATCTCATTCTTTTCATTGCAGTACCCCATCATATGCCTTCGCCATTTTCCAACCTTAGTGAACATGTATATACTACCTACTAGTAAAAGCATGGGCCCACCATATAAATAATTATTTCAAGTGTATACTCTAATTATTTTATAAAGAGCATTGGTAACTAGGGATTTTGACGCATTTTATACTCCTTCTTGCTCATGCTTTGATGAGAAATTAATACAAAATAGTCCCAAAAGGCTCATAAGTTGTGCTTGATTGCAGGTTTGATCAACAAAGTGACAAGGTGTCAAAGATCAGCTCAAAAGGAGTGGAACTTGCACAAGTGCCAAAGACAAGACAAGCTCATGCAAAATAGGTCCAGTGCGGCCGCACACCACTTTGTGCGGTCCGCACTAGGAGATTCAGAGAGCAGGTATTCAGGCTAAAAGGCAATGCGGCCGCACTAGATTTAGTGCGGTCCGCACTGGAGTCCATGCGGCCGCACTACTATTCTGTGCGGTCCGCAGAGCTGAGATTCAGAGAAGTTGCAAGATGGAGCTTTCAAGCCAATGCGGTCCGCAGTCCATTTTGTGCGGACCGCAATAGAAGTCACCGCGGCCGCAGTCCATTCTGTGCGGTCCGCGGAGCCTGAGTTCAGAGAGCTGGATATTGAAGCCAAGAGTCCTAGTGCGGACCGCGATCCATTTTGTGCGGTCCGCACTAACCCCGCAGGGGCATTTTTGTCCAGATTTTTCAGCCTAGTATAAATAGCTTGTTTTTCCATTTTTAGGGTAGCAGATATTGTAATTAAGCAGCTGCACTCGTGGGTTCGACTTTCTAAGCCATTTTGGGCAATTTTAGCTACTTTTAATCATTGAATCTTTGTATTTAACTTAGTGATTAATTATTATGAGCTTCTCTTCATCTATTTCTTGCTTTTCTTCTTTAATTATGAGTAGCTAGACCCATAAGCTAGGGTTGTAGCTCAACCTCAGTGTGGTAATTGATGGGTCTTGTATTTAGGGCTAATTTGACTATGGGTGTTTGTTATTTGGGTCAATTTCATGATTAATTTCTAAATTAGTGGTTGCAAACACTAGTTTGTGTTGAGTTGACTTGAGCTCTTCTTGAGAAAGAGAGCCTAAGTCTCCGAAATTGGTCCAACAATGAATTGGGGTGTACTCAAGAGATTGATACCCCCAATTAAAAGGTTAAACCTCGAGAGAGTAATACCCGAATTAAATCCTAGTTGCTTGTGTAAATTTTCATACCCAATTGGTCTTGAGAAAGCCAATTTGGGCAAAATCACTCGAACCACCGAGAGGTGTAGAGTGGGTAAAGTCGTGAAACGGTTATTACATACTCCCCAAACGTGTCAAGCATGCCTTAGATTCAAGTACCCGTCAATTGACCACTTAGGCGGTAGTCACTACCCTAGTGCATTTTAAACCTATTTGAACAACTCGTAGCATTATAACTCTTAGCATTATTTAGTTGCAATTACCATTTGTAGTTTGATAATAGTAGAAGTAAACAAAAAGCCCAAAAATGAATAGAAGTGTAATTTGGAACACATACGCAATCCTAAACTAGATAGATACTCGATTCCAATTTCTAGCTCTCTGTGGATATCAATCCCGACCGAAAATCGGGTAAAAGCTATTGCGACCCTCTCTTGCTACTTTTTAGTAGTGCGGAGTTAGCAGCGATCACTTTTTGGCGCCGTTGCCGGGGAGCTAACGGTTTTGGCTATCTATCTAGTTAGATTTGTGTTTTGTTCTTCTTTCCTTCTTGTTACTAATTTGTGTGTGTCAATGCTTCAGGTACCAAAATGGCTTTAAATTCTAATGACCCTCTTGGAAATGTGAATGCGGGGGAGGAGGTAGATGACATTGGAGAAGAAGAGGTGCCTCTTGTACCTCAAGGACAACGTAGAGGCCGCCAGGCTAATGTAAATGACAATATTCCAGACCCTCCTCCGCCACCTCCAAGAGTGGCTCCCAGAGTTCTCCCCAACCAAGGCTATGCGAGTAATATTGTTCCGCCCCGGATTCGGGCGGGCAATTTTCAAATAACCAACGTGATACTGACATTATTGGACCAGCGTGGGTATTTCACCGGTGATCCCACTCAGAATGCGTACAAACATCTCAAGGGGTTCGTGGATACCTGTTGGGGGGGGGCAAGCAAACCAATGTGTCCGAGGATGCACTTCGATTGAGGCTTTTCCCTTTCTCACTTAGGGGGAAAGCATTGGACTGGCTTGAGCGACTTCCCAACCGTTCCATTACAACTTGGGATGAGTTGGCGGATAAGTTCATTGCCAAATTCTTCTCACTGGGACACATGGCAGCACTACGGGATGAGATCTTAGCCTTCAAGCAGGAGCCTACCGAACCATTGCATGAGATTTGGGAGCGATACAGAACTATGGTGAAAGAATGCCCCAACAATGATATGACAGAGGCAATGATACAACAAACCTTCTATCAGGGCATCAATACAACAAATTAATGCATAGTGAACCAATTGGCTGGGGGTAATTTCATGAAGCTGCCTTATGACGAAGCTTGTGAGATTCTTGATGAAATGGCCGACACATCCTCCGCTTGGCAAAGTCGAGACAATGTGCCTCAGGGTGACCCCATGGTTACTCATTTGCATAAAGAACTACATGACCATGGACAGGCTATAGCAGAACTTACAACTACAATGAACCAATTGGCAAAGGCACAGTTGCAACAAGTCTAAAATCCTCGCCAAGTGAATGCTATGGAGGGTGTTAACATGCTAGTGAACCAAAGAAGGCAAAGAGGTCAACAGAACCAAGGGAATTCGGATCAATTTGACAATGATGGAAATGGATTTCAAGATGATGGCTATGATGAGCAAAATGAGGAAGTGCAATACGTGAATAATTACCAAGGCCAAAGAGGAAATTCTTCCAACCAACAACAACAATGGCGATCCCAAGGCAATTGGGGTAACCAACAACAAGGCAACAATAATTGGAACAATCAACATCAAGGGAACAACAATTGGGGAAATCAAAATAACAACCGCAAAAATCAAGGAAACTGGGGCAACAACAACAATTGGGGTGGAAATAACAACAACCAAGGCGGGCGGAACAATAACCAAGGAAATCAGGGGCAAGGCTTTCAAAGGCCCACAATGTACCAACAACCGAGCAATCCACCACCCTTTCCTTCCCAGGGTCCTAGTTCATCCAACAATGAAATGGGTAGAATTGAAATGATGTTCGAACAAATGATGAAAAAGAATACGAATTCCGATGCGCAATTGGCTTCTCACAATACTTCAATCAGGAATTTGGAGGTGCAACTAGGTCAAATCTCTCAGTCTCTAAACACGCGCCCTAAGAGTGCTCTACCAAGTGATACGGTAGTGAACCCAAAGGGAGGAAGCAATCATGTTATGGCTGTGACAACTAGGAGTGGACGAGGCAGTGATGTAAATGCCTCCACACAAACGCAAGTTTTGGGTGGAGAAGTTGAGTTGCAAGAAGATGAAGTTCCTTTGGTGGTTGAGAATGTGGTTGATGAAAATGTGAATGAAGAAGTGAGGATCAATATTCAAGATGCCGAGGTGGAAACACAAAGTGACGTGAACCCGTCTAGGGAGCACGTAATTGACATGCCGGAGCCGGTTGTGCCAAGAGCCAAGGCACCTTTGCCTAGACCACGTCCCCCTTATCCTCAAAGGCTAGCCAAGCAGAAAAGTGAGAATCAATTCAAAAAGTTCATTGACATGATGAAGAGCTTATCCATCAATGTGCCTTTGGTGGAGGCTTTAGAGCAAATGCCCGGTTATGCTAAATTCATGAAAGATTTGGTGACAAAGAAAAGATCCATGGACTGTGAAACTATCAAGATGACCCACCAAGTTAGTGCTATAGTACATTCAATGGCTCCGAAATTAGAGGATCCCGGTGCTTTCACTATCCCCTGCACTATAGGGAGTGCAGACTTTGCTAAAGCTTTATGTGATCTTGGGGCAAGCATCAACTTGATGCCCTACTCAGTTTTCAAGACTTTGGGTATTGGGCCTCCGAGGCCAACTTCCATGCGATTGCAAATGGCAGACCGATCTATGAAGAGACCATTGGGTATTGTTGATGATGTGCTCGTCCGGGTGGACAAATTTATCTTGCCAGCTGATTTTGTGATCTTGGATTGTGAGGTAGATTATGAGGTCCCGATCATATTAGGGAGTACCTNTAGAAGTCACCGCGGCCGCAGTCCATTCTGTGCGGTCCGTGGAGCCTGAGTTCAGAGAGCTGGATTTTGAAGCCAAGAGTCCTAGTGCGGACCGCGATCCATTTTGTGCGGTCCGCACTAACCCCGCAGAGGCATTTTTGTCCAGATTTTTCAGCCTAGTATAAATAGCTTCTTTTTCCATTTTTAGGGTATCAGATATTGTAACTAAGCAGCTGCACTCATGGGTTCGACTTTCTAAGCCATTTTGGGCAATTTTAGCTACTTTTAATCATTGAAGTTTGTATTTAACTTAGTGATTAATTATTATGAGCTTCTCTTCATCTATTTCTTTCTTTTCTTCTTTAATTATGAGCAGCTAGACCCGTAAGCTAGGGTTGTGGTTCAACCATAGTGTGGGTAATTGATGGGTCTTGTATTTTAGGGCTAATTTGACTATGGGTGTTTGTTATTTGGATCAATTTCATGATTAATTTCTGAATTAGTGGTTGCAAACACTAGTTTGTGTTGAGTTGACTTGAGCTCTTTTGAGAAAGAGAGCCTAAATCTCCGAAATTGGTCCAACAATGAATTGGGGTGTACTCAAGAGATTGATAGCCCCAATTAAAGGGTTAAACCTCGAGAGAGTAATACCCTAATTGAACCCTAGTTGCTTGTGCAAATTTGCATACCCAATTGGTCTTGAGAAAGCCAGTTTGGGCAAAATCACTCGAACCATCGAGAGGTGTAGAGTGGGTAAAGTCGTGCAACGGTTATAACATACTCCCCAAACGTGTCAAGCATGCCTTAGATTCAAGTACCCGTCAATTGACCACCTAGGCGGTAGTCACT